TGGTTTGTACCCCTAAAACGCTTTATGGGGACGTATAAAAAAATACGTATCCAATATTTTTCGGTGTTTTGAAAGTATGCCAAGTTTTATTAAGATCGGCGGGTGGCACTTGGGTAGGTTTACTTGTTAGATATTCACGTTAGATATATTTACACGAAATATTAGAATTTTATGAGTATTATAACATGTGTCTGTATGTATATATGTATGTATGTATATACTTCTACATATACAAATAATAAATATAAGTATATACAGGGTGTTTGAAAATTATCGGCTAATCGATCACGAGCAGGTAAAACGGACCGAATTGAATCGAAAAATCTTATACCATTTTGTAGGTTGCGCAATAGTTAACGAGATATTAACGCGTTTAAAGATAGCCGAATAAGCGCGTCCGGCCGGCCTACTCTCTGCTGCCGAATATACAACCTACCGTCCCCATCGATCGCATGGCGCGCGGGCCGCTGGGAATGGGGATGGCCTGCGTGATCGATTAGCCGATAATTTTCGAACACCCTGTATATATCTGACATTATACACTTAGAATGATATTACCTTCGCTGACATCAGAGTGACGATCATTATTTTAATTCTGACATAGATTTTTTTAATTTTTGTGGACTCAGAGGTGGGTTTTTTCACCACAGAGACGGTCTGGCTTAGTTTTATATTACAGTTCTGATTACATATAACCTTTTTTTATGTTTCACTAGAATGATTAGAAATTTCGCAAACGGTCATCCAATCGCTTGACGAGCTATTCCGTTTCAAATAAGAAAACTCTAATCTTTTCTTATTTTTTTAACAAAACCGTCTGTCTTAAATTTTTAAGGATTTACTGCGTTATAATTTTGTATATCTGAAGAGTGCCTAAACACAAGGCCAAAACATGTAATATACCTATAGTATTCCGTAACGTTGAAGATTTTTTCTTATGTTGGAGCTTCGTAATTTATATTTTGTATATATTTTTATATTTAATACATTTGTGGTGACCTAATTATAAAAAATTTTATTGTTGCTTGACTCTTATAAACTTTTTTTTACTACATTGTATCTTGAATATTAAGAGTCCTGTAAGTTTCACTATTTTTAACCATTTTAAATTGTTTGCATATCGAAATATGCAAATGGATGCATATCGAGATATGCAAAATATGCACAAAAAATGCATTATTTATGCAGCATATATACACGATATGCAAAATAAATCTCTGACAAGCTGTGGATTTTCAAGCACACTCTTCGCTGAAACAATCGACGTAGCATCCTTTGAATTGAAAGACTCAACAATCTGTGATCAAATCACAATTTTATTTTATCAAGTTCAATTTTATTTTTAATTACTGGATCAAAAAAATAAATTAATGCATACCTCTCGAATGCCAGTTAAATTATTTGCATAAAAAAGTGCAGCTTCAAGCCATATTCCCCATCTTGTTAAAATTGGTTCAGGTGGTAATGGAATATTTATCAATTTTGCTCGATATTCTTCTATACGAAGCGGAGCTTTCAGAAATATTTTTTTTACTGAAGGTATTACAGTAGTAACGAGAGAAAAGTGAAGGCGAACTTCTTCAGCCACTCTATTGAATCCATGCATGTTAGGTGTATAACGTTTGAATAGAAGATTTTAAGATCTCTTCCAGCTTTTAACATATATGCAGCTGCATCTGTTACAAGTAATAAAACTCGTTCTTCGTGGGATTCTCTTGGTTACAAGATTTTTATATTTTAATTTACAAAGTGAGCAATAGTGGTATGAGATTGGTAGATGAGGTTTAGTAATTTCCTCACATAGTTTACAGACTAGAAATTCAAGAAAATTGATAAAATTTATGGAAAATTGGTAAAGTTTATGCAAAATATACATTTTATGCAAATAATATGCTCGATTTACGCAAATATAAAATTTATGCAAAATATGCATTTTATACAAAAATATTTAGTTAATATTCAGTTATTTTGCATAAATATCGGTAATCTAGTGATTAATATTTAATATTGATGGATTGATTGGCGTAAAATACTAACAGTGTGTGTGTGTGTGTGATCTGGAGTTTGATTCTTGAGCGTCAGTATCGCTTTATTAGGATCCATATCACAGTATGTTACAGAAGTGCAATAGATACAGTACATAAAACTAAAGTAAAATAACACATCACTCAATAAGTCCCGGGCCTAACTAATAAAACAACAACTTTTAGGCAAAATTCGATTTTATTCATCAACATAGTCTCCTTCTAGGGTGATACACTGATTCCAACGCTTCTCTAACAATTCGATGCCTTTTTTGTAGAACGGTTTGTCTTTGGCCTCAAAATACGCCTCAGTTTCCGCAATAACCATTTGATCTAAATCTCTGTCCCTGGAGCATTCTTTTAAGATCTGCAAACAGCCAGAAGTCGCTGGGTGCCAGATCTGGAGAATACGGTGGATGGGGAAGCAATTCGAAGCCCAATTCGCGTACTTTTGCCAATCGACATACGAAATTCAGATTTTTCCATTGTTTTAAAGAATGCAAAAGTAGCGTCACTTAAACCACTGTAACTTGTAAAGTAAAGGTCCGATTGTCGTGAAATTTTAATTCATATCGTTTGAAGATTAGTACTTTCTAAAAATTATATGGATTTGTTATTAGTGCGCCATCTATTATGTCAGGCCCGGGACTTATTGAGTGATGTGTTATATTATTAATATTATAATAATCGCGCGCGTGTAAGTTTGTAAAAATACTAAAAATATTAATGCATTGTATTACCGATTTGGTATTACTGCTCAATATTACCCAATGAGAAATGACAATGAAATCGATGTCGAATTATATTACACCTTGTAGAGTCACCTTTAAGATGTCATGAATCAGAGAGTATTAGCTTAGAGTAATAAGTATTATATCTTATCTTAAGACATTATTCATAATAAAGAAGATTACGCATTATGGAAAATAATTAATGGTATTATAATTTAATCGTTGGCACCTTTATCGGCCTTGACTCTATTATTAGCTTTGAATGGATTGTTTATTTTTATTTTTAATGCATTATTTAAGATGGCTTTCAAATAAGAACGGACTATAAACACCGCCCCCCCCAGAAACTCATCAACATCAACAGTGAATCAGCATTAAATCGATGACGTTGATATAAATTACTTTTTTTACTGGTCAGTAATCAGAAGAGTCTTGTGAGACCACTCGGGTCGGACGTGTCTCCTTTTGTGTTGCGTCACCTCAATTATATTTTTGAAAAGCGTGACCATTAGTTAGACTGTGCAATTACATCACACTACTCACAGTTCCTTCATTCGTCTGGACGCGCGCCGTGCGGCGCAGAAGTCTTATAGTCGTAGGCGCCCAGTGTCTGAAGGGGCACCTCGCCATTTCCATTTTGATTACATTATTTTTTGTTCTACTTGCCCGATTCGAGGTAGCTGATACATTGCATTCCGATTTTACGATTTATTCCGAAGACCATCAGTGGCTCAGTATCGGTCAGTTAGGCTGTGGGATTAATTAAAAAAGAAGAAGAAGAAGAAGAAGTCAGTAACCAGAAGATGAAAATAAACACGAATGAACATTATATGTATAAAAAGGATGATGAAAGAAATAAGTTATCAGCTTGAATGATATTTAGCAATCCTTCGTTTGCATATAACGAATCTTTCTGTGAAATATAACGGTTTTTAACAGCATGTTTATGAATATTGGAAATTCTATAAGTATGAAAAATTCAAGTGAATGTAGATACGTAATGATGTTAAAGAGCATATTCGATCGAGAATTATTTCCGAATGACTTCGACACCTGGACTGTACAGAAGCAATGTGTGTGGATAAATGAGAACATCGCTACATTCTTTCCAAACGTTCCAAAGTCATTGTTGGACCTCATTCCAGCTTCTTTTCGCCAAGGAAATTACAGTCGATCACTGATGGAAATACCAGAATGGTTGGACGTGGATAAATATCGCAGAGGACAGAAATTTGTGCGTGAAAATTATACTTCACTTCTCATTTCCAAAATACTAGGTATTATGCATGTGTATTCTTTTGAGGAGGCTCTAAGACCAATTATCATATCAAAGCGTTCTCATACGCCATATTTAGGATTTAAAAGGTACTTTATTAAATTTAGTACTTTGCAATTAAATCTTAATTGTTATTAAATACATACACTTTGACTTACATAGAGAGACAAGATTTGCTAACATTGAGCAGCGAAATTGTCTGTTAATCGTAAACCAATTTTTCACGAAATTATCTGCTATAGTATTTTTAAACTATCTAATATTTATCCCGTGTCCATTTTAAACCTTATTATATCATATACGCTAATTTCGTGATATGATATTATCAATTAATGTATACTTTTTTAATTGATTATAATGTAATTAATTTCCACAAGATATTCCTCGACCATACAACGATTCTTTAATTGGTACAACGGAGAGCCTTGGATTGAAGGAACGCCAGCTTATAAAGATATGCAATTTGCGCGCAGAATGCATTTAATGATTCAAGAAAAAATGCACAAGCTCGATAACGTGCAAATCAATAACGAGTCCAAAATCGCGGAGCTATGGTGCCCAGATCGCAAATTTTTTCTAAAAGATTTTACTGCAGCATGTCCACTTGAACAACACGGACAACGTCCTTATATCATAATTGACAAGTCGCCATACAAACCGAAAGGCATGAATAATGCGGACATGGCAGGTATACAATGCAGTTTTATAAGTTTAATTTTGCTCTGTCCAGAAAAGATCGGAGTGCATAATGCGACCAATGAAGATATGGAAGCCTTTTGTCATATGTGGAGATGTTACGGGCATTATCTCGGGATGGAGAATGAGTACATATACTTAGCAATAGTAAAAATTGTAATATTTTAGATACTCTTTTTAAAACATATATATTTTATAATTTCTCTTTAGGCACAACTTCTGTCGTGGCAGTCTCGATGAAATAAAGCAACGCACTCGAGATCTTTATCAATATTGGATAGTACCTAATTTTAAGGATGTTACACCAGAATGGGAGCACATGACGAGATGTCTCGTCGAACCACTGAATTACTATCCTTGGATCTATATGCCTTATAAGGTGATGGCATTATTAGCAATGGATACGTTAAATATAAGCATGACGCATTTATATACGTCAATGAATTACGCGGAATGGATTACTTATAAAAGCTGGAGGTGAGCATGTAAATACACTTAATTTATTAACGTAGAGTTAACAGGTCTAGATAGCAGAATATTAAATATACAATTATGTATTACAAATTACGTATATTTTTCTATAATATTATTTTTTTCAATTATTTCAGATTTTTATTGTGTTACGTTTTAAAATTCTCAATCTTCCGTGCAGTTATCAATAAAATGATACGCAAGATATTTGATCAAGCGATAAATTTCAGCCCAGAAAAAGAAGCAAAACTTCAAGAAAAATCAAAAAAACAATTATCACATTTTTCTATCATTAAAAATGAAACGCGATTGCATTAAAGTGCATTAAAAATAAAACACAATTGTATAAATTTTGGAAATATTTCGGTTCAAATATATTTCTTTTCAGTTACGCGCTCTTCGAACAACCAATTTTTTTTTAAATAAAAGCAAAAAAATAACAAGAAAAAAGTTTATACAAAATACACATATAAATATCATTTACGGTATGTATTTAAGAATAATATTCATATATTTGCAGAATTACACAAAAAGTTAAAAACGAACTTCTCTTCTATTGATGCTAGCGTTTCATTGAAGATGGATTTTTAGTTTCTAGGACGTTAAAAAATTAATTTTTTTAATTAATACTAGCTAATAAAAAAATACTAGCTAATAACTAAAAAGTGACTCACTGTGTCTCATACCGACTGGACCAACATATCAGGAATCGGTTTGTGAATTATTCATGGTAATGTTTGTGATATGGTGCTTTGTAATCGTGGTAAGCGTCCTTATTTTCGAGATAATTAATTATATTCTTATAGTTTTTTGATAAATTAGTTTCTATATTCTTAAATTCGACGTTTTTAATATTTCCCTTCTTTCTCATTTTCCTTTTCTTCCTTTTGTTTTATTCATTTTTAAATTCTCGATGTAGGGGAGCTCACCATGACAGGATTGTGAGGTTAACGGGATTAAATACACGCTATTCTTCTTTGTCTAAACATATAAAGTGTCTTTTACTCTAAAAATAACTTAACGAATTAATGTTCAGACGCAGGTGAGTGACGCTTCCCAAGATCCGTTATATCCATAGAGTATAAAAATATAAGTGAGTCTATTTCTTTAGCGCCCTCACCGTGTAATACACTTGTTACCAACTTAACTCGATCTCGAATTACATGTCACTAATAAATATAAATGAAAAACAACCCTACAATTTGCCCCTTTGTTTTTAATGACTTTCAGTGTCCATAAACTTATTTATGTTCTTCATCAGGCCTGGTCCACTCAATGGTTTAGTCAAGCAATCGGCTGTCATCTCTCTGTTGGGTACATGTACTATCTTGATGTCCTCCTTATTCGCTGTCTCTCGGATATAACAGCATTTCCTATTTAGTAGCTTGGATTTGGTCTTAAAATTTCCTCCATTTCCTAGTTTCACAGCATTCATATTATCGCATTTTAGGATCAGTGATCTATCTTTCGTTGAGTCTATTTCTTCCATTAAATTGTTTGTCCATGTTATCTCCTTTACTCCTTCTAGCATGGCCTCTAGCTCACTCGCTGTTGAAGATAATGCTACCATATGTTGTTTCTTACTCTTCCAGTGTATCAAATCAGCGTCCCGATACAGCAATAAACCGGTGTACGATTTAGCATTCTTAGTCCTATCCCATGAAGCATCGGTTTCACATTTAATCATTGGTTTTGAAATTTTCTTTCCAAATTCAAGACGTCCTTTTCAAGTAGCGCAGTATTCGTCTCAGCGCATTCATATGCATCACTCTTAATGTATTATTAAACTGTGACAAGCAGCTTAAAGCAAAAGCTAAATCAGGTCTTGTATTCACACTTAGATACAGGAGTCGTCCCAATAATTCTTGATATGCTTTTACATCACTTTCTCCACTATCATCGCATTCTTCCATTTTTACATTTACGTCGATAGGTGTCTTAACAATATTACAGTCTTCCATACCATACATAACTAACAGTTTTTTTATGTACTTCTTTTGATGCACATATATTTTTCCTTCCTATTTGCATGCCCAATACTGTCTTTGCTTCTCCAATATCTTTCAAGTCAATACTTTGTTTGATCTTGTCCATGTAGAATTTTTCAAATTCATTGTTGCTGGAAAAAGTGATCATATCATCCACATGTACACCACAATACATGAATTCGTCACCCTTTCTAATGTAAAACAGACACGGATCTTCCTTCGCTTGTTTCAGTCCAGACTTTATCAAAATATTTGTCATAAACTCGTTCCAGCATTTTCCTGCTTGTTTGAGCCCATAGATACTCTTTTTTAGTTTGCATACATATTCCTTATTATTTTTCCATCCATCAGGCAATTCCATATAAATCTCCTCTTTAAGTGTTCCATGCAGAAACGCTGTTCTCACATCATATGTTTTTATCTTTTTGTTTCCTTGAGCACCAATACTAAATAATAATCTAATTGTCTCCGTTCTTACCACTGGTGCAAATGTTTCAGTATAGTCAATCCCCGGTCGTTGTCCACATCCTAATGCAACAAGCCGAGCTTTATATCTCTTACTATCAGTATTTGAATCTCTTTTAATATCAAATACCCATTTGCATTTAATAATTCTTCGATTTTTTGGTCGTATAACCACATCCCACACATCATGCTCTATTATCGACGCTAGTTCTTCTTCCATAGCCTGTTTCTAATGTCTCCATTCTTTTGATTTTTCTGCTTCTTTGGCGTTTTTAGGGATTTCCTCTTCAATGACTAACATCGCTTTTTGTCTATCCTTGATTCTTTGTGATCTCCTAACATCTTCTGTTTCATTTCTTCTTTCTTCCCTTTCAAGATTTCTACGCGCATCCATTTCTGCTTTTGTGGTTCCTTTCGGTCTTCCTTTATTTTTCACCTGTACTTGTTGTCTTTGCAATTCTTCAATATCTTCGATTATTTCTAAATTATCTTCATTATCATTCTGAATCGAGTTTTCTTGTTCCATTTTTTCTATTTCTGCATCTTTATATTCACTACTCTCTAAATCATTTTCCTCACTATTTTCGTATTCCTCTGTTTCATCTTGCATTATATTCATCTCAGAACCGAATTCCACAGTGATTAGACTTTCATTCATCATTTTATCATCATCTCCAATCTCATTCAGTATCTCACAGCCATTTCTACTTTCATCAAATTTAACGTCACAATCTGTTTTTATTCTTCTTGTTTCTGGTATATATATTCGGTATGTACTATTGTTTCCATATCCTACGAATATTCCTTTAACAGTTTTTGGATCAAGCTTTCTTCTTTGTCTTTCTTTATCCAATAGGTATTCACACATCCAAACCTCCTCATGTGTTCTATATTTGGTTTCCTAGAATTCCACATCTCATATGGTGTTCTTCCATGCACTGATGACTTTATTCTATTCTTGATGTGTACTGCAGCACATACTGCTTCTGCTCAAAAATCTGATGGCATTTTCGAGTCGGACATCATGGTTCTTGTAATCTCTATTATTGATCGGTTTGCACGTTCCACAATTCCGTTACATTGCGGTGTTCTAGGTGGGCTCAGTTCATGTTTGATGCTTTTCTCTTTCAACCATTGTTGTAATCCACCTCCAATAAATTCATCACCATTATCCGATCTTAATGCTTTTAGTTTCATTCCTGATTGATTCTCTTTCAAGGTGATTAATTTCTTCAATTGTTCCGCCGCATCGCTTTTTTCATTCAGTAGTTCTGCAAAAATTACTCTCGAGTAATCATCAATTATTGTAAAAATATATCTCTTACCACCACACGACAAAGGTCCAATTAGGTCCATATGCCATAACTCCATTATTTTGGTCGTCCTTCTTCCCTCTAGTCTCGGATAATTTTTCCGACTCATCTTACCTTCAACGCATGGTTCACATATGCTCTTCTACTGACATTTATCTTTCATTCCGATCACCAATTCTTCTTTCTTCATATCTTCAATAATCTTCTTGTTAACATGCCCAAGCCTCTTGTGCCAGGTTTCTAAATTTTCCTCACGGATAGCTCTCATCTTAATTTCACCTTCTTCGTTACAAACAATGGCTTCACTCCTGTCAAATTTAACGTTGTATCCATAGTCAGTCATTTTTGTTACCGACATCAAATTCATATTAATTTCTGGAACACATAATACATTTTTTAGTCGTATTCTATCTTTATTCCATGACTGCCTCATTACTATCTCTCCTTTCCCATTAGAGGTTAATTTCTTTCCTTCTTTATCAGCTAACGAAATTTCTCTCCTATCTGACTCTAGACTCTCAAACATAAACTCATTATTAGCCATATAACTTGTTGCACCTGAATCTAGCAACTATAAATAATCATTAGATTTTACCTGAGTATTCCATTCATTGATTAATGCATTAGCATTTGATACCACGTCTCTTACTGATAAAACAGCTTCATCTGTCGTCTTCAATGACACCTCGCTTTTTTCACTCTGTCTTCCATAACCTCTTCCACGAGAAGTTCCCCTACTTCCTCTTCCACGTGGTAAGCTTCTCTTCTGTTCTTTACAGTCTGCGGCAATATGATTAAATCCTTGGCAATTAAAACATTTCTTCTTATTTCTGCATTCATTCGATGTATGACCTTTCATACCACAATTATAACAACTTATGTCATACTTTGTTTTTTCCTTTGCCTTTCTCACATGTTCATTTTCACGTTTTTCATCCTTCCGCTTATTTATTTACGTAATTCTTCTTGTTTCAATGCAAATCTAATATCATTCATCGTCAACTCTTTTTGACTTTCTAAAACACGTACGTTTTGATCAAATTCCTGTCTTAGCCCTCTCATCACATACATCCTCAACTCGTAGTCTTCTATAATTTTTCCAAGTTGCACACACTGGTTCCTTAAGGCTTCAGCTCTGTTCACAAATGTGTCTACACTTTCATCTCTATTCAGTCTCAAATTCGATAGCTCACTTAATGATCTCAATTGTTCTGTTTCAGCTGCCATATTATTTTTAATCAAACTCCATAATTTATTAGCATTCTTCTCATAACTATATCTCAATAGCTGTGCCTTACTCATTGTATTAATCATCACAGTTCTTGCTGCATAATTATCATCATCCCATTCATTCCATCGTCTAAATTTCACATTGTATTCGGGATCTTCTTCTTCTGGTTTTTTAGGTGGTTTAACACCAATCACCTTTTTCCAAATCTTCTTTGCTCTAAGTATTCCTTCAACCTTCTCACTGCATATGAAGTAGTTTGTGTCGTTAAGTGGTTCTATGCTCGCCAAATTCCAATTCTCAGCCATCTTGCAATAAACGAGGCTTCGTCGTCTTTATTCTTCGATCACTAATTTTTCGTCTCAGTCGTCACTCAAGAAAATCTCGTAACCACGCTCTGCTACCAATTGTGAGGTTAACGGGATTAAATCCACGCTATTCTTCTTTGTCTAAACATATAAAGTGTCTTTTATTCTAAAAATAACTTAACGAATTAATGTTCAGACGCAGGTGAGTGACGCTTCCCAAGATCCGTTATATCCATAGAGTATAAAAATATAAGTGAGTCTATTTCTTTAGCGCCCTCACCGTGTAATACACTTGTTACCAACTTAACTCGATCTCGAATTACATGTCACTAATAAATATAAATGAAAAACAACCCTACAAGGATAACGTTTAGTTTATATATGTTAGTTTGTGGTTGCTCTGAGGAAGGGTAAAAAATGAGCCGAAACATGTAAGCGCATTTGTTGAATAAAGAAGTTTCAAGCTTCATAGATGTATTATTTGCGCAACGTCTTCTGCGCCTGACTCCTAACGCCCGTATTCTTTCCAATTCTTTGATTTATATGGAGTCTTGGTTAGTTTGATTTGTTACGGATTTAATTTTTTATATCTTTACAATTTTAAGAGTGTTCCCTCAAAGTGATTGAATCGCATTATAAAATTCCAACAACATACGATATTATTTTATGATGTTTTAACAATCGGTGTTAGGGATGATGAGCAGATAAAAAAGTTTTAACACGGTCGGTATTTTTTTTCTCAATTTATTTAATGGTAATTTTGTCTTTAAAATATATATTTTAAGAAAACTTTTTCGTTTGAGATAAAAATTAATGAATTACATTACTTTTTTGTATAATAAATTTTCCATAGGAGTGTTGCATAGACGATCACGTGTAAACAGAGTATCCAAGAACCAAGTATTATCAGAATTAGGTAAAATGACATTGTTGGCATACCCATTAATGAAAGAATCTTGTTTGAAGAACGCAAGTGACAATATGCTTCAGAGCATAGCAGTTTTGGTCGGTCAAGGTAGATCGCCTGCATTATTCCTTCAAACGCAAATCTGCAATAAAATTTTATGCTTTTCAAATTTACTGAAGAAATGTAGTAAATTGGAAATAGGATAAAAGCATGTCTCGACACACGAGCAGAAATAATTTTTAATAAATTAAAAAATAATTTATATGAAAAAAATTATATCCAAATAATAATAAATATAAATGCGAAAAGCTTGTAATTAACAGTTGGTACATGTTAAATTGTCTCTACCTGAAAAAACTTGAAAAGCTTATTGATTGCAGATATGTCGGCATTTCATTTAATTTCAAGAAAAATCCAGAGAAGAGCAATAATGGTATACTGCATATCGGTATTAAAAACATACCTAACTGCAATTAAAGAAACTGTATTTAATCGTTATCTTCTTATATTAAATAACAAACGAATTGTAATTTATGTGGTACAAGCTAATAAATTAACTGAAAAATTTATTACCATAAATCAATCATATAATAATTTATAACTTATTGCTATTAATGTTTTAATAGATGCCTGTTGAGCATCAAAATTTAATTGTGATATTATTTCAGTAATTTAGTTGTGTTTTTAAGGCTCCTGAGTAGTCGCTGCGGCCATGTTAGAATCGTGACGTCAGAAGCGAGGAATGACACGTTAATTTATGTTACGTGACATTTGTAAGTAAAGACAATTTGGATAAATTTAAATGACGAGATCGCTTTAAGGGGGCCGGGTGGTTTGGAGGGTAAAAAAAAATGGATTTAAAAAAATTTCATTTTCGGAAAGTTGATTGTCTTGAAAATATGTTGCCAAAACTGTTCACAGAAATAACGTAAAATAACGGAGTTATTCACGGTTAATTGAAATGGTGCACAGGTAATAATTAGGCGCGTTTGAGTTTCGATCGCTGTTACTTCTTCGAACAAAGAAACATCTGCTGGATTTCTGTCTTTTTCTACATTTCTGTTCAAACAAGAGGATGAATCGTATTATGGCCCAGGAATCGCCGAATAAGAAAAATTTATTGTAAGTACTAAAAAAAACATAAGTATTCTAACTCGAAACTTTGAACGCATTTTTCTCGAAACGTGTTTTTTCAAATTTACTGACATTATAAAGAGAATATGGCTTAACAGATCGCCGCTTTTTACACTGTTAATTACAACTATTTTCTTCATACCCTAAACCTAAAAAAATAATAAATTTTTAAAAACAATAATACGTTTTTGGCAATTTAATGGAAAAAATAATAGTCAAAAAGGATCTTTTTTTTTTATAAAAGAGTAATTTTAACAAATCGCGATTTTTTATAATTTTGTTCGGTTTATCGTATACATTCAACATTATTAATTATAAATCGATTTGATTTTTTGATTTCAGACAACTAGTTCTGGCTGCACAATGTCAGCAATTTAATATAAATCTATGTGAACACGTTTGCCGCCAATGTTGTCTCTCGGACATTTCTATATATTTTAATTAATAAAAATTCATACTTATTGTATAAAGTGCAAATAAAATATAAACCCAAATCTAAAATTGATAGCTGTATCCATTTACCCATAAAAAATTCACAAAAAATCGTTGATCTTCAAACCACCCGGCCCCCTTAAAACACTTGTATAAAATTGACGAAAACTGTCCTTTTCTCCCTTGACAGTCAGAAAATGGTCGTAAAAGGCACGTAAAGTGAACCTAATATACTCGGACAGAAACACACAGTGTTTGACAACTGTTGAAACGAGTGAAAAATACGCTTCTATATATAAAATTCCAAAATAATTTTAGTTTTTGTCGATAATTACGACTTTGATAAGTACGAGACAAATCATTCAATCAATTTTCACAATTAAGCAACTAATAACGAAATGGCATGCAACACAAATTTCGTCGTCAAAACGTCACTTTTCCACGCATATAAGTTCAGCCATTTATCGCGGCAAGGCGTTGTAACACACGCACACACAAGCGCGAGCCCATGTGCACCCAAGAACTTTGATTCCTTTCCTCGGAAATTTTCACAAATTGATAAATGACCACTTTTAAACAAGTTCAATAAAATTTCGGCGTTCAGTTCAAACTAACTATCCTGCTGCAAATTCCTATGGAGAATTTTCCTATGGGTTTGCCTAACCATGGGTAGGAGAGACCGGGGACAAAAGTAACACGGGACAATAGTAACATCGTCAATATTTCTTAAACTATAACAGATATATGTATGTGGCCGCGTGGTAAAATTCTATAATATACAGATAGGCATTGAATCGTTCGTTACATGCTGATTTTCGCGAAACGTGCACGAGTGCAGAAGTACAAATTACTTTTTTCATGCATCAAGTAACTTTTATTGCGTGCACAAAATTCAAAATATTTTTTTATTTTTATAACAAAGGTATAATGTATATCTTAATATGTTTTAATAATTATCTGTGTTGATTCGTTTCACATTTGAGTAGAATTTTATCTAGGTTTTTATTTAAAAAATTTACTATGAATCGTAAAATACCATTAGGGCACAATAGTAACATTGATGCCTGGGGTCAATTGTAACGTTACAATTGTCCCCAAACTTACTGATTTTATTTTAGTATTGTTGTGTACAATATTATTTGTTGCGTTTTTTAATATTATTTGTACTTTTCTTTATAGAATATCGCTAACAAAAAAAACGCAAGATTAAAAAAAATATTATACAGAACAAGTGTATTTATACAGAGATTTGAAAAGGTTATAAAGGACCTGTCATCCATTCGTATAGCTACAAGAAAGAGTACGTATGATTCATGTTGTGTATTTTTAGCAATATTGTTTTCTACAATATTATGCATTTTTATAGAATGTCGCTAACAAAAAAAAAACGCAAGAGGAAATAAAAGAAAAAGGTAAAAGAAGAATCTTTATAAATATTTGTTTTAGACCACCCGTCCCACCCTTTTATCTTCGCAAGATAAGGTTCAATCGAAAAAGTGTTCAAAAGACAAAAGTTGTAGGGTTTTAAAAGATCTATTTTCTGGTGCTATGAGTTTGATCTCGAGTGCTAAGGTCAGGTCAAGTTCACGTCGAGTATTTTAAACGGAAATCCTAATTTTTTATTGCATATTCCTGTAGCTTGTCCCGAGTGCTTTTCAAAACACTATAATTAAGTTCATTTTCATTAAGTACTTTTTGAGTTATAAGGCTTGAAAGTTACAGTACCTCCGCCATTAGTATTATCTAAGATATCCAAATAGTCATAACCTTCCAAATTGTACGGGGTCATAACGTTGACAACATTTGTCAAAATGAAGATCTTTGTGATTGTTCCTCTTATTTCTATTTTAAAAGTAAAATCAAGTTAATGGTTTCTATCAAAAAATTTTAATAAGTAAATCGGGTGCACACTATCGAATGGAAATACCTATTTTAAATTCCCAGTTTCGAACAGAAATAAGCTGTTTAAAGCGGAAATTGATTTTTTCATTGAAACATGGTATCTTTTATTGCGGATTTAGATTGAAGATACATGAAAAAACATAAAACTTTTATACCAAGCACTTTTTCGAAAAATGTCAAGTGTAACCTTCAAATAAGCTTGGAAATGACTTTTAGTGGAAAAAATATTTTTGCAATATCTACTCTCAGGATAACCCAGGATCTACGACGAGGACGTGGCAGATATCACATCCCATTTATCGTGTACACCGTAGAGATAAGGACTCTGTGGTTCTTAATTTCCACATGTATTTTGTGATTCCAAACCCACCCTACGGTGTATGTGTGCGTGCGCATGTGTGTGCGTGTGCGTACATGTGCGTGTGTATCTACAATTAGATGTGTTCAAATTAATTAATGTTCAAAGTGCCTACCGTTTGCTTCGACGAAGCAAGTACTCTTGTCTGGAAATGACTTGCTGTATGAAAAATTTCATCAGTATCTAGAGAACGAATTACCTCGCATAGTCTTCGAATCATATCTTCTTTTGTCGTAGGACGTTCGCGGTATACCAGATCTTTTATTCTTCCCCATAAATAATAATCGAGAACAGTGGGATCCAGTGATCGTGGTAGCCACTAATGTGGGCCATATTTTACCTATCCATTTGTCTCTAAACATATCGTTCAATCGGTCATGGGCAACTCTAGATGTATGCGCTGGGCATCCGTCTTGCTGAAACCACAAAATTTAGCGCAATTGTAAGGGAATATTTTCAAGCAAGAGCTGAAGACCGTTTTCAATAAAATTGGCGTATCGAATACCGGTGAGATTTTCTTCAAAGAAAAACTGTCCAACGATATATCTATCAATAATTCCGCACCAAACTGACTTTCCAAACACGTTGATGGTCAATTTCTCGGAACCAATGAGGATTTTCTTGTGCCCAATAACAATAATTATGAGTATTTACAGAATCATCGTACGGATGTAACTTGTTTTCTTGGAAAATCCGCGAGTACTAGCACATACCAGATTCTTTTCCCATACGTCTTAATGAATCGTGGGGATGCAATTGAGTAAACGCAAGAATTTCTAGCGCCCTTTGGGCCCTATAATTGGGCGTTGAATTTGTCTACCTTTATTGTAATTAGGTAAAGTAATATCTTTATTAGCAATTCGCTTAGCTAAACGAGAAAAAACATGGTATGAATGAGGAGTGCGGTTCGGGTGTCGTTCTCGCCATAATTTTTCAGTTGCTCTAAATTGACCTCAACACTTATCTAAAATCAGTATCATATCCAAAGCTTCTGCATTTGAACGATACCCGAATCGCATTCCTCATTCACACTATGTTTTTTCTCGCTTAGCTAAGCGAATTGCTAATGAAGGTATTACTTTACCTGATTACAATAAAGGTAGACAAATTCAACGCCCAATAGGGTCCAAGGGGCAGAAATTCTTGCGTTTGCTCAATTGCATCCCCATGATTCATTAAGGCGTATGGAAAAAGAATCTGGTATTAGTGCTAGTACAATCTTGCGGATTTTCAAAGAAAACAAATTACATCCGTACAAAATGATACTTCACCAAGAACTTACGAATACCGATGTAAGACGCAGACTCGAATTTTGCAATTGGATACGTCAACAAGCGCGAAACTTTCATTACAAAATTTTATTTTCTGATGAAAGCACTTTTAAAAGTGATGGTTCTGTAAATACTCATAATTATCGTTATTGGACACAACAAAATCCTCATTGTTCCGAGAAATTGACCATCAATGTCTTTGGAAAGTCAATGTTTGGTGCGGAATTATTGATAGGCATATCGTTGGACCGTTTTTTTTTTAAGAAAACCTCATCGGTGTTCAATACACCAATTTTATTGAAAACGATCTTCAGCTCTTACTTGAAAATATTCCCTTACAATTGCGCCAAATTATGTGGTTTCAGCAAGA